CCATCTCAGATCACAAAGTGGGGTCTATATAACTTGAAAAACTATCTCTGTTGCAGGGGAAGTCAACCATAAGATCAACGTAGCTGATCCTTCTAGTTACTTGAACATTAATGGGCAAATTTCTCCCAAATGACTTGAGATTATAAGACGAGCCAGGGTAAAACTTTGTATCCATATTCTTAAAATGAACAAGACCACTCCAGGTTAGCAGGGGCAGAAAACAGTCGAAAGGAGTGACATAATGTTCCAACAAGATGTCAAGATCTTATGAGTCATAAAATTAGTCATAAGTCAATAATGGTAGAAGAATTCCCACAAGATTAGCATTTGCTTTACAGTGACGAAATAAAGAAAGCAGTGACTAGATAACGAATTGACCGGCAAACATAAGATCATTAACCAGCTATATACCACACCTTTTTTATGCCAAAAATAAAATAAAATTAAAGTCTTTAATATAGTGGTGAATTGGCAAGCAGTATATCCTGTAACTCCTATACCTGGTAGTTGATACCCCTTCCATGAAGATCCTTAGGTAACAAGGAATGCTGAGGAAACTTTTCTTCAAGATACTGCATAGAAAAGGCACACGCTAGCATCAGAACTGGGTATTATACAGCCAACTGGATGCATAAAATCAAACAAGATGCCCACCATCAAGATGGCAAAAGAGTCTGCAAGTACTACATCACCATCGACCAGCACGGGCACAAACCCAACAGGGTTAAGCTTCAAAAACTCTGCATTTTCAGTTAAAGTGTTAGATTTTTTTTCTTTGCACCAGATAAAATTATTGCAGAATAAGCAGAAATCCTTCGAAATGATACTAATGGTCTAAAACCACACCAAACATTCACTTCGTTCCCTGTGTTAGTGCACCAGAAAACAATAATGATATCACTGACCCTCCTTAATTACCCCCCCCCCCAAACAAAAAAAAAAGACAGACATACATTCATTACATTTTCTCTGTGTTCCACCACTTAGTTATGCAAATAGCTTAAAAAGTAAATCGTATATGGAACGAAGTTGATGATCAGATTGTTAAGGAACTAATATTCATTGAAGCCGATTATAACAGTACCTTAGCATATTACCAGGAATAACATAATTAATCACAAAAATTACAGATAGGAGAAAGAGTGGAAGAGGGTGGCTAACCAGGAGTCTGTTGTTCTTCTTTCAGCAAGTTCACTGGCACGTACTCGTACTCTAATCCTGATGCATATACTCATATTTTTTTTATATTCAATTTCAATTAAATATCCACCACATTGATTTTTTGGGAATCAATCAAGAAAAAGGAGGATTATCATTAAAAATCAAATAAAAGCAGCGAAAAAAAAAGCGCAGGAATCAATGAGGAGAACCTTTCAAGTTGAGACCGATGCGAACGCGGCAAGCGCAAGAGCTCAGCCAGTCCGAGTAGAGCTTCAGTTTCTTTGACTCCTCTCCGGCCTGCAACCCAATTTTTTTTTTTTTCCAAAAAACAATATTGATACGAAATTTGGATTAAATTCCAGAAATAAGATAGAGAGAGCAATATGTTACTAACCATGAATATGATGATAACGATGAAGAAGAAGTTGAAAGTATGGAGTGGACTCGAAACCAAAGCCTGACGAGAATGAGAATTTGTGGACTTGTTTACACCATCAAACCCATCTTTTTATCCATAATTTAAAAAGTCCACTTTATAAACACACAGTAATGAGTTTTCTAAGAAATTTTACAATTTTTATAAATTTTGGTATTATTTTTCTCTGTTTCTGTTCACTTTTGGACAAAAAAGCCGGCTGACAAGAAATTCCTCGTATCCTGTCCTCTTCGTCCTTATCCTTTCATTTTTTTCTTCTGAAAAACTAGTCAAACATTAAAAATTTTACTCCTCCGTTTCATTTCTTTTATTTTCCCTCCTTTCCTGTTCCCTCAAAAAAGAAAAAGAGTCTTAGTACCTAGTACTACACTAGTACTCTGTATAGTTGGGTCGAGATTTTTTTTTTTCTCTTTAACACTCGAAGGCTGCGTTTGGATTGATCATTTTTTGAAAAACAAATATTCATATATAATGCTACGATAATACATAAATAAAAATATCAAAAACAACTTTAAAAACACCAAAAATAATCTCAAAAATACCAAAAACACTCTAAAAAATAGTTAATCCAAACGAAAATTTTTTTTTTTAAAAATTATACATATTGAATAGGTTGAAAACTTTTCTTTTTTTTTTTCTCTGGTTGAACAAGGAATATTTTATGGTCAAATATTTTTTATATTTTATGTTTTGGGTTTACTCACAAAATGAAAGGGAATTTGGGATTGAGGAAAGTTTGAGAGTTAAACAAGACCTGGGAGTAAGAAAGTAGAAGAGCTAATCAACTAAATAAAGCTTGAAATTACTTATATATAACCCACAATTATAGTATTAATTCAATGAATTACAACCGATTCAAATTACAAGTTTACAACTAATCCAAAACTCAATGAGACAAAACCAACATAAAATTCAAATAAACTCATAATTTGGTGGGACTTGGACCCAAGACTTCTCGATCCAAGATACTCAACCTTGATTTGTAAATTGTAGACCAAGACCATCTCAGCAAACTTCTTTTTTTTTTTTTTTTTTTAAGTTCAAGAGAGATTTACAAAATAGGAAGAAATAAGCAAAATCTTGGGAGTTGAACAAAATAGGAAGGATTGGACTCTTGCCCACTGGACCAAATCGCTTGTGGCAGTGGATCGTGGGTTAAGTGAATGGACCAATTCTCGACGCTGCTAAATGCTCTAGGTCCAAATAAAGTATTGTGCTTATTGGACAAAAAATGGTTTGTTACTTGAGGATCAGTTTATATCCCAGGCCTCTACTAGATAAACACTACTATATGCTGTAGACGGAGTACGACATTCCACCCCAATCTCTGCAAAATTTGGACCCTGATTGGCCTTGTTTGGTAAGCAAGTTTTTTGCCAAATTTATTTACTACAAGTTTTTTAATAACTTTAACTACAGTAATTTCAAAAAAATTTTCAAAATTTTAATTATACGCTTCAAAATATTAAAAAATTTACATACTTTAAAATTTTTTTCTACACCTTCTATAATAAGTTACAATAAAATTTTAGACAAACACCTAAAAAACTCACTTACCAAACGGGGGTTTTTTAGGCGCTTGTTTAAAAATTTACTGTAACTTACTATAGAATTTGTAGAAAAAAATTTTAAGATTGAAACCTTTTGTTTCTTTTTTCTTTTTTTTCTTTATTCTCCTCTCCTTCTCTCTCACATCACCACTAGCCAGCCACCCCCACCGGCAGCAACAGGCATTCTTTTTTTTTTTTCTCTTCTTCCTCTCCTTTTCCCTCTCCTCCTTCCTCTTCCCCTCCTTCTCCCCCTCCCCTCCTCTCTCAGCCGCCGCCTCTTCCTTCCCCCATAGATTGCGTGACGGATAGGGAGGGGTGACGGGGAAGGAATGGGGGGCAGAGAGGAAGCTGGTGAGAAGGGAGGGAAAGGGAGAGGGAGGAAAAAGAGAAAAAAAAAAAAAAAACCCCCTCTATTGATGCCGAAAAAGGTGGCTAGCGTCGGAACTGACACAGAAGAGATGCCAGTCGGTGTTGGCTGGCAACGGACCAGCAGAAGTGGTGATGGGTTGAGGTGGGGGAGGAAGAAGGGAAATTTTTAGACCTTTTGGTTTTTATCCGTGATCAAAATATTGCTGCTCTGGGCATTTGGAATATTTCATTTTGTCCAGCGATTGAGAAGTGAAATCTGATTTCCTGATTAGACTAATGTTGAAATGTTTGATTTTATTCACTGATATTTCATTTTTTTAAAAAAATTAATCTTCTATACACTATCAGCATTAGATGAATGATAAATTATATAAAATTTGAATTTGAAATTCAACTTTTACACGTATTCTATGAATTCAACAGTGATAGTATATACACTATCAATATATATATATATAATTTACTTGTTTTCTAATCTATTCATTTGTTTTAGCCATCTGCATGCACATTTGACTAGGAAGTCCCCCCTCTCCCTCAAAAAAAAAGAAGCAAGCAATCAAACACAATGAAAATGTATGGAGGAGATGTCAAGTGCATCAAAAGAGAAATAAACAGTACCAATAAGTCAAATTCCAATTTTTTTTAATTAAAACAAAGTGGAAAACTGTAATACTCCACAATACAATTCAAACAATGGCAACAAACAATGATAACACTTTTTTTTTTTTTAACAATGTGATAACGGGTAAGTGGCCAAGGACGACCCATGCACTTCATCTCGAAGATTATGTCTCATTTGATAAAGACTTAGAGCCAGCAGATGGATATCGACATTCTGCATTTTCCATGTAATCAACAAAACTGAGTACGTCATCATTATTTCCCCCTTTTGGGAAACATTTTGTTTATTTTGGCATAAAAAGAGATACCAAAGAGAGACAGAGATCAGAATAGACAATAGAGTGACCTGTTAGCAGCATAGGTAAAATGCCTCAGACTCAATGCACGGCTGGTGTATCACGCTGTTTTCCTGGCATATTTGTTGAGATATGCCAAGTTTTCCTACAGATTTTATAAGATTGGATTTGATATCAAAATAATTTAGTTATTAGAAAATAAGGATATTTGTTAAGCAAAGATCATGTTGGATTGTTAACAAATATATTAGCTAAGATTTGCTAGTAGTAGAAGATTATATTTTGTTAAGATTTTTAAGATAATTATTAGTTGGATATTTTGCTAGTTTGTTTCATGTAATCACTATAAATAGTGAGTTGATGAATGTAAAATATAAACTCATTTTCTACTTTTAATACAAGTCTCTTATAAGTTTTTTTTTGCAACATTAAGGTGTTGTTTCTTAGTTTATACCCTAAAAAACCAACAAAGTGGTATCAAGAGTCTAAATCTTAAGGGTCTGTTTCTTTAAAAGTGAGTGAATCTGGTGAGAATTCCTTTTTCACACTTAAGCCTTCAACATCAAAATGCCAGGAAACAACTTATTGTCCAATCCTTCAAGTTTCACTGGTGAAAATTACCAAATCTGGGCTGTCAAAATGAAGTCCTATTTGGATGCTAATGATCTTTGGAATGTGGTAGAGACAGATCATGTTCCTGAATTGTCAGAAGATCCAACTATTACAGAAATGAGAGCCCATAGAGATGCAGTCAAAAGGAGATCAAAAGCCATGACTTGCATTCATTCAGCAATTTCTGATGCAGTATTCACAAAAATTATGACTTGTGAAACTGCAAAAGAAGCTTGGGATGCTCTCAAAGTGATTTTTCAAGGCAATGACAGAACAAGACAGATGCAAGTTTTGAACCTTAGGAGAGAATTTGAACTCCTTAGGATGAAAGACAAAGAAAATATTAAAGAGTATTCTGACAGACTCTTAAATGTTGTGAACAAAATCAGATTGATTGGAGAACAACTTTCAGATAGCAGAGTTGTGGAGAAAGTCTTGGTGAGTTTGAAGCCAAGATTTGCTCTCTTGAAGATTCAAGAGATCTCTCGGATGACCTTGCTAGAATTGATCAATGCTCTAGAGGCACAAGAACAAAGACGAGTCATAAGAACTGAAGAAGTCATTGAAGATGCTTTTCAAGCAATAAACAATGATCAAATTCGACAAGGTGAAAGAAATGATCAAGAAAAAATAGCAAATATGAGAAAAAAAATGGCAGAAATCCTCTGTGTCCACACTGTAAGAAAACCTCACATCTTTCAATATGTTGTTGGTTTAGACCTGACATTCAATGTAGATTTTGTAAGCAAATGGGGCATATGGAGAGAGTTTGCAAAAATAAAGGAAAAAGAGAACATCACGCTCAGATGGTTGATGAACAAGATGAGGAGCAACTTTTCATGGCCACATGTTTTGCAAGCAATAATTTCAATACTGAAACTTGGCTAATAGACAGTGGTTGCACTCATCACATGGCATATGATGAATCTATATTTAGGAAATTTGATAAATCGCAAATCTCCAAAGTCAGAATTGGAAATGGAGATTATATTAAGGTGAAAGGCAAATGTAGTGTTGCTATTGATTATGGTTCAGGTACCAAAATTATTTCTAATATTTTGTATGTACTTGAAATTAATCAAAATCTGTTAAGTGTTGGACAGTTATTGGAGAAGAATTATTCTATCATCTTCAAAAATAGGACCTGTGTTATACATAATCCAGTTCGAAATGAACTTTTCTCAGTGAAAATGAGAGGCAAAAATTTTGCTTTGAATTTGTCAAAAATTGACAATTCTAAGGTGCAGTATGGTGAACCAAAAAATTCAGATGTTGCTAAAATTCAAGAGGAGATCACTGATGAGGCAATTGAATGAGGTTACATTGTGAAAATTCATGAAATGCTACCCAAGGATGATGATGGTGACATAGCTGATAAAAGGCTATACAAAAATTTGAAGGATTGTTTTATGTCTCTCATAGCAATCATTTTTTGTATTGTGAATTTCTTCTTCAGGTTCATCTATTACGTATGGGAGTTCCACTTTCAAGTTGCAAAGAAATCATTTGAATACATCGAAAAAATTGGTATTAATTTTGAAGTTTGGCTCAAGAAACATTGCAAGACTGATGGCCAAATTGCAGACATTTTTATGAAAGCCTTGTCTAAAACAAGGTTCAAATATTTGAGAAGGCAATTGAAAATCTGCAGCAAAAGTGGCAAGGAGGAGTGTTGAGATATGCCAACTTTTCCTACAGATTTTATCAGATTGGATTTGATATCAAAATAATTTAGTTATTAGAAAATAAGGATATTTGTTAATCAAATATCATGTTGGGTTGTTAACAAATATATTAGCTAAGATTTGTTAGTAGTAGAAGATTATATTTTGTTGAGATTTTTAGAATAATTGTTAGTTGGATATTTTGCTAGTTTATTTCATGTAATCACTATAAATAGTGAGTTGATGAATGTAGAACATAAGCTCATTTTCTACCTTTAATACAAGTCTCTTATAAGTTTTTTTTGCAACACTAAAGTGTTGTTTCTTAGTTTATGCCCCAAAAAATCAACAATATTATCTTGGAAAGCAGGTAGCTCTATGTATGCCTCAAACAACCTTGATAGAAGAGGAAACTCATCCTAAGAAACAAAAAGTTCAATAAGCCATGAATCACTTGATAACAGAAAGAACATATAACGCTAACTCGTTATAATGCAGCTAACATGTAGGACAAATAATTCGATCTTCTCATAATAGAAGCTATATATTTGAAGATTGGAAGGGAAGGATCCTTCATGAAACTAATGGTAAAAGTTAAGCAGCTGATCAATGACTTCACCACAAAAGTTTATGAATCAAGTACTATAGCATGTATTTGCACATTAGAAATAAGGATACTTCATGAAACTCATGCCAAAAATTAAACAGCTGGTCAAGAATTAAATTGAATTAGAGACTTAAACTTCAAGGCATAAGACAGTCTTTTGGGGACATTACCATCTCGATCTTGAATCTTGTAATGGCAGCATAAATTTGGGGTGCTAGGAATAAATCAACCTGCATATTTTGGCCAATAAGATAATATATGTTTTAGAAAGCAGTAAGCACAGATATTGCTCATATTAATTCTTAAGTTGCAAGTAGTGAGTATTTCAGTAGATTCTTCAATCGACACTAAGTATTTGCTGCATCAGATTTTCTCCTTTAGGAACAAAACGCAACATCAACATCGTCATCATATATTCAACTGTTGTTGTTTAGCGAGTCTTAGTCAAACATGCAATAGTAAAGAGTAGATAGTCTTGTCCCTGAATATATATGAAAAATTTCCCTCTCCTCTCCAATTTGGCAAATTTTCCTAATATATATGAAAATTTTTACTACAAATATTTTTGGCATATATTTTAGGCTTTTGTAAAATTTAAAAAATTTTGAAATATTTTTTAAAAATTAAAACTACTATCTATCACCATCACCAATCCCTCCCTCCTCCGCTCCAAACCTCCATCCTCCTTCTTCCTCTCTTTCTTCCCGCTTATCTCTCTTCCTTCTCCCTCTCTCCTCTCCTTCGTTTCCCTTACCCTCCTCTCCTCCCCTATTCTTTCCTGTCACACCCCACCCCTCTCATCTCTCCCCCCTCCTCTAATACATTGCCTCGATAGGTGTGGCATGAAATGGAAGGAGAAGGGAGGAGAGGAGGAAGAAGATGAGAGGAGAAAAGGAAAGAGAGGATGGAGGAAGGAAGGGATGGTGGTGATAGATGAAAGAAGAAAATGATGTAAATTTTTTGTATATTTTTTAATTTTTTTGTATATATTTGAAGTTTTTTTATATATTATATGAATGTAGTGTTTTTGAAATTATTTTTATTTATATATTACTGTACCATTATATATGAAAAACTTATTTTTCAAGAAACGAAGAATCCAAACAGAACCATAGTCGATGCAAGAACTCATAGAGTCAATAGTTGTTAGACAATATTGATTAAGCTCAACTGCTCAAGTAGGACTTTTGTTTTTGTTGCCTTTTTTTTCTTTGAAAAAATCCCTTTAATGGTTATAGCAACCAGCTAAGAGGAGGTGAAACCAAGAAGCAAAAGCAAATTCGACACATCTTTTCGTATATGCATCGTTGGCCTGTTTGGTAGATTTTAGGTACAGTCGATATGATTGTTATATTCCTTTCAAGATTTAATGTACACTTACAAAAATTAGTTTTACTCATGTATTGAATTAATAAGATGAACAAAAATTTACACTAAATTCATGTAACATACACAAAAACAGCAGCAAAATCTCAACTATGCGTGTCCTAATATGGGCGGATGGAGCTCTTATCCGTTTAGAGAACTGAAATGAGAAAAACTGGAATAAGTTATGGAACATATGAAAGCTTCTCGTTTCACAAATTGGGCCATATGTAAGGCGTTGTATAGCTTGGATTATTTTCCTCTGCTTATTGAGAAAATAATAAATAATAAATGTTTCTCTGTTCTTTTAAAGAATAAGGTATTATTACTTGCTCTCCTTAGTCAAAATTCAACAATAACTTGCTTTAAATAAAAATAAAAAACATTGATTTACTTGACTTGGTTTATCAAGTCGAAGACGACATGCTAGATAACAAGTTAAACACAGTAGTATTGCTTACAAAGGTACTGCTGCATCCTGGGATGAAGTCAGTTCACTTCTTCTTTGGAAATGAAGCAAGTCCGCCATGGGAAATAAACAAACATGGATGAGTAACATTTGTACAAAGAAATGGTCTACAGAGTATAGACATCAGTGGAAATTGGTCATCACTTATTTATCCTGCTTTCGTGATTTCTTGTTTCCACCACCCCATGTTTGCCATGCCATTTACAAGAAAAAGCCAGGATTTCATATTGAATACCTGACGAAGAACAGCAAAGCTGCAATACAAACGCATGTTAAAGAGTAGACTGATCGGAATTCAAAAGACAAGGGGACAAACATGCAAGACTCAGAAGGTAAAGGAAAATATAGGATTCTACTGATATCAGATGCACTGAAAAGCTAACATGCGACTGCTGGATCACCAGTCAAGTTTACTTCTCTGTCTCTCTTCCTTCAGTCAAAGATGCTTCTCTTGAGAAAAAGTTTGGTTTAAAAAAGAAGAAATCAGTTACTCTATCAATAAGTTGAATACCTCAGTCTCGATGCTCAGCTGGTGCATCAGGCTGCCTTTCTGGCATAGCATCCCGAAATGCAGGTAGCTCTAAATATGCCTCGAAAATCCTCGCCAGAAGAGGAAACTCATCCTATGAATACAGACGGTTAAAAGTTTAGAGTAATTTAACAACAGAAACAAATCCGCTAATAATGCAGATGAAACCCAGGAAAGATAATTACAAACGTTCTATAACATACAAAACATATTACAAACTAGAAAGTCAGGATCCTTCATAAAACTCAAGGAAAAAGTCAAGCAGCAGCTTGAAGATGCATATTGCTAGAAAGAATCAGCATAACAGCTGCAAAATGAATTTCAAGTAGGTGTTAATTCAGAACTGGAGAAACAGCTGAAAAAATAAGATCATCTTCAAGTTAGTTCCAATCAGAATAGTGCAATTGGCAATTAACCAAAATATAGATCTTTGATAACGCCACAGTAGCAAACAAATATGCCGTTGGTAATCAACTGAAACTAGAAGAGAAAAAGGTAAGTGCTAAGCTAAAATGCCACCCAAAATATAACACATTGAGGAGATTACCATGTCAACCTTGAATCTTCTAATGGCACCATCAATCTGCGGTGCCAGAAATAAATCAGCCTGCAAATAATGGAAAAGAAGATATACTTATCAGAAGCAGCAGAAAAATTACCTCTAATTCTATTTGAGAAGTTATAGCCGTAAAAATTCACTAAGCGTCTATCCTTCAAGAAAGTCTGACATGAACAGACCTTACCAAGTTACGTCCACCTCATTTTCTCCTCCAAGGAACCTAATGCAATATGATTCTCACTGCTGACATCAGATTCATACATCATGTTGAATAATTGGAAGTTATCTAGACATTGAGGGGGACATGCAACACCTAAGTCTTCACTAAATTGAGACCGTAATGCACCTTTCAATGCTACGCTACAGGAATTGTGATGGGAATACTGAGTAGTTTCTAGACCAAAATTGCCTGCACTGATTGGTGTTAGAATTTATTTGTCGTCTCAAACTCGGTCTGATTTCTCAAGTCTTTCATATGCTGCTTTAATTGGCCTAAATATACCAACTTTTCTTAAGTAAAAACCCCATCTACCCTTTAGAAAAATGGGTGGAGACATATATAAACATCAGCTAAATGGGTTATCCCAGACCGAGAATAACATGCAGGGTCCAAGTCACCAAATGCAAAAGAGACGGAACTGAGTGCAAAATAAGTTCACTTGCACAAATCCACCATATTTCTATTTAAGAAGATACCCTGCTAATTTATTTAAGAAGATACATTGCTAATTGTGGAATCTAAACTAAAGATGGTCATATTAGCCACGTAACTTGCTATTAGCACTATCAGAGTAAAAAACAGAAACTTGCATGCATCAATACAGGCAATAAAGTGCAATAAGAAGGAAACAGACCAGAAAAACTTCGTCCCCGGTAGCATACTTTCCAGAATAATCTTTCAACAGCTTCTCAAGAGCTGCCAGTAGAATTCCAGAATCAGGCAATGTGCATGGGAATAGAGATGGTAAATAGCAGCTAATAGAAAGAATGAGACAATTAAGAGTACTTTTACCAAATTTATGCCCAAACATAAAATACAATGATTAACTGAAATAATTCAAGTTCACAAGAATTGTTAGTCAAAGAACTAATTCCTTGATTAGGATCAAAGAAAATATTAGGT